GCGCGCGCCGGCGGGGGCAAGCCGCAGACGCCGAGAAACGAAAGCGCGCGCGCGAGGAAGCCAAAGCAACTGCAGGCACAATAGACCATGGGGCAGTGTCGCCAACTGGGTCGCCCTACACAGCCGCGTGGTTGCGCGCCGGCTAAACCCTGTTGGGGCATATCGAGGCAGCGTGCGCACAAACCGGCATCGCATCGAACACCGGAGTCCTACTCCGATCCTTCGTTGGCAGACGTGGCCGAGGCTGGGTTGGTCCCCCCACCGCCTGCTCGCACCCAGGGTACGAGCGGGTTGCTTGATGGGTACGACCAGCTCGCACCCAAAGGTACGAGCGAGCAGACCCCGACGGAAAGTAATGCCCCGCGATTGTCAAGGATTCAACCTGCATGCTCTGGCCGCGGGAGGAAACTCGCCGGCGAACAATTGCCCCCGGCGGCGTAAATTTCGAGGTAGCCCCGGGCCGAGCCCTCAAATATTTTTCATGCGCACAGTTGTAACATATTCGCAAGTCTATTCTTGAAACGCGACCTTGCCGTATTTGCCCCCCGGTGGAACTTTGCCGCGCGCCGGGGCGCGGGCCGAGCTCTCCGCGCGCGGTGAGCTCGGCTGTGCGCGCGCGCCGCGCGCCGGGCCCAGGCCGGCGCCCCCCCCGCTGGTCAGTTTGCTGCTCAAAGATTACCCACAAGCATTGCAGAGGCCGTGCTCAGGCCTTGCACAGCACCACCTGGCCCCGAGCTGACTTGGCCCGCCCGTACTTGGCATGCAACCTTGCAAGGCCCCTTGCCCCCGATGTTGTTCAGCCCGCAAATGAGAATTACATGCAAGCAAGGGTACTGCACTACACTTCTGAAATTTCAGCAGGCCATGCCTGCGCCCGCGCCCGCGCCCGCGCCGCCGCCGCCGCCGCCGCCGCCGCCGCCGCCGCCGCCGCCGCCGCCGCCGCCGCCGCCGCCGCCGCCGCCGCCGCCGCCGCCGCCGCCGTGCCTTTGCAGCGGCCCCGCGGCCCAGGCGGCGCAGGTGCCGGGAGCAGGGCCCGCACGCTTGGCACCACCGTTGTGGCGCAAATAGCCGTCCACTGACGTGTAGAAGGGGGTGTTTGTGGCAGCCCTGTCCTTCACATCGGGCTTCCAGCGCTCGACTCGGGCGGCATCGCAGCCTTTGTCAAACGCCGCCATGACGCCCTGCCGCCCGCCGCGCCGCTCGAGGCATGATTGCGCGCCTCCCAACTGGTTGACCGCAGCGTCCAGAATGGAGTGCTGCTCGGGCGTCATTGCCTCGATAACCGGGGCTCCGCCAGAGCGCTGCCGCCTCTTGGCCTCCATGTTGGAGGCGCCGCGCGCCGCAGACAGGTTGCCCTTGGCCGCCTCCAGCCACGCATTTGGCGGTGCGCGCTTCCCGGGCTGGCGCTGCTGTGCAATGTACCCCTCGCGGGCGGGCTGCAGTTTGAGGCCCTCCTCCCCCACGGATGCGGTGCCGGTGGTGGTGCTGGCCAGGCCTGTGTCGGTTTTGGGCGGTTGTTTGCAGGGTTGGCGGCTTGTTGTGGGGGGCGTTTGCTTTTTGCCCGCCTGCCGCATTCAGGTGCCGCCCCAAATGCTGCAAGTTTTGCACGCAGCGACTCCACCACAACCAACACAACCAGCTCGCAAACATGTCAGCCACACGGGGTCGCGGCGGGCGGCAACCCGCTGCCCGCCGCTCCCCCACATTGACCCCATGTGCCCCGCCCACCTCCCAAGGTGGCAGCCTTTTTGGCTTGCTGGAGCGCCCGCCGGAGGACCTCCTCCTTGGAGATGGTCTCGTTGGTGCGGGTGTCCTTGAACCGCCGGGTGGCGCCTGCCTCTGCGGGCTCCATGTGCACGTTGGCCGGCATCAGGTGGGCCTTGCCCAGCACCGCCTCGCGCTCCTTGGCGGATTCAGTGCCTAGGGTTAAGGGGCGGTTGCAAATTTCTCAGGTCGGTGGACAAAGGCATGTGTGCTGACGTGTCTACGCGTGTAAAGCGCCCGGTCAACGTGTTGGTCAACGTGTTGGAGCAGCAGCGAGCCATGGGCGCCTGAAAGCTCAATAAAGGAACTAACACCCCCCCTCACCGGCAGAGTCGGGCGGGTGGGTGGTCCACAGGCGGTTGGCAGCGGGGTGCACGGCGGGCCACTCAAAAGTGGAGCGCACGGCGCCGAAGCAATCATCGATGGCAGCCGGCACGTCGTCGAACGCGCTCGCCTGTGGGGGAAACTTGATCTCGCGGCCCGGGAGCGGCTTGCCGTGGCGCAGGTCCATGACCAGCGTCACAACCTCGGTGCCGGGCTGCGCGTCGACGGTGGCCTGCGTTTGGTTGGGGTTTAGGGTTTAGGGTTTAGGGTTTAGGGTTTAGGGTTTAGGGTTTAGGGTTTAGGGTTTAGGGTTTAGGGTTTGTCAGCCAAAGAGCCAAACAAGCATGGAAGATGGGCTAGCCGGGCAGGCAGGCCGGCAAGCATGCAACCCGCAAACGAGGCAGGCATGCAACTGTGGCAGTCCCACACCTCGTGGAAGGCCGTGACTCCGAGATGGCCCACGTCACCCTCTTTCCTGCCAAGGACGAACACGTCCCCTGGCTGGAGGCGGATGTCGTGCCGCGCCCCGGCGAGCCAGACAGACAAGGTGCCGGCGTCGTGATCAGCAGACGGCTGGAGCGTGTTGGGGTCACCTCGCAGGCGGCAGCAGAGGCGCGCAGCGTAGTTGCCGGTGTCCTTCTGTTATTTGGGATGTTGGGATGGTGATGCACCGTTAGTTCATTGGGGTTAAGGGTTTAAGTGAGCCCAGCAGCGGCACGCCCACAGCGGCGGGAGCGCTGCACGCGCGCCCCTGCCGCACCGGCTGCGGGAGCTAGCGCTGCACGCGCGCGCCCCTGCCGCAGCGGCTGCGGGAGCTAGCGCTGCACGCGCGCGCCCCTGCCGCAGCGGCGGCGGGAGCGCTGCTCACGCGCGCCCCGGTCACCCTTCCCACCCAGCCAGCCCCGCTCACGTGGACGGTGGTGCCGGTCGGCCCGCCCCAAACCCGCAACATTATGGGGTTCATCTCGTCGTAGCCGAAGGCGCCCGCCAGGGCGCGCTCCACACACTCGAGCAGCTCCGCCGCACCCTTGGCCGCGCCGCTGCCCTGCCGCATGCGCCGGATGAGGGTGCCGTCCACGGTGAGCGTCTTGAGCGACGTGAAGCCCGTGACGCCCTCCAGCTGGGCCGCCCCGCTCAGGAGCTGTCCGCATGCCCCGAAGAGCTTGGCGAGGCGCTCGGACACCGCCGCTGGGAGTGTCCACAGTTGGCCGTTGGCGTGTGCATCGGCCAGCGCCGTAGGGAGCGTGGCTGTGAGGTTTTGCATGGGGGATTTGGGCAAGGGGAGTGAGGCGGGCGGCGGCGGGTGGCGCACTGCATGGCATGCACCGCCACGATCGGTGGACATTGCGTGCATGCGCGCGCCTCCTGCATGCGCCTCGTGCATGCGTCGGGCAGTCAGCTTGCATCTGCATGGCGCGCGCAGCGCGCCGCCACGCACCTGGGGGGGCTTGACCAATTGCCAGCGCAGACGCAGGCACCGAGGCGCCCGGCGCCGCCGCCGCCGCGAGCTGCTGCAGCTCCGCTGCCGTCGCCGGCACGTCGTCGTAGGCCTCCTCCGTGGCGTCCTGGTCGTAGCCCATGGCGCTGCTGCCGCCAGGCGCGCCCGCCGCCGCCAGCACGAGCGCCGCCGCTGCGAGCGCGACGATCAGCCACGCCCACGGGGCGCCGCGCGGAGACGCCATACGGCGCGCTCCCGTGGACAGGCCGCGCTGTGACGTCTGGGAAGGGGTGGGGCGGCCGAAGGCAGCCGGGAAAGGGCGGGAAAGGCCGGCGAACCCCGGTGGCAATGTCGCAGCGTGAGCACGGCGAGAGACGTTGCCCCAACAGGTAAGATGCGAACGGAGCAATAAGAAACGAACGGAGCAGCGGTGCGGAAGGCGCGCGGACCGGGTGCGGGAGGCACCCCGATCAGCGGGCGTCGCGCGGAGTTCATGGGGCCCCAGCCGTGGTACAGCGTTGCACTTTGGGGTTTCCAGGAGGACGCTCGGGCCCGTGGAAGGGGGCGGGGGCAGCGGCGTAGCGGCGCCCATGCTCGCGCGCCCCAGCGCGCGCGCGCCGCTGCGGCCGCCGCCGCCGCTGCCGCCTGCGCCGCCTGCCACCGCTTCAAGGGCAGCATGCTTGCAGGTGGGTGGGATGGCGGCACGCAGCACGCAGCATGAAAATCGCCGCGTGTGGACACCAGCAGGTTTGTTACGGCCGCGCGCCTAGGGCTGGGCAAGTGTGGCGCATTGGCAGGAGAAGGGCAGATGAGCCGAGGTCATGTTGCATGCATGCTGCCTCGATCGTCCTATTACTGCTGTCTCGGTGACACGAGTGGTGAATTTGAGTTGTAGAGGGCGCATTTTGCAACGCGGCGTAGGCGGCGAGCGAGCCGGGCCGAAGGGCGGCGCTGGCGCACAAACCAAAAACAATGCCCGTGCCTCGCAACCACAGCAAAAATTCGCAAAAGTTTGCCATAAAAACGCTTCACTCCAAAATACGGTTTCAACCACTTGATTAATGCATTGAAATAGATAAGCGGACCTTCATTCTCCCGATTTAATCGGCATTTTTTGAAACCCGCCGCGCTTGATATTACATTGGGACAAGTGTTGTGCATCAAACCGAATACCGGGGTATGTCTCCGATGTGTTAGCAGACGTGGCCGAGTGGTCTAAGGCGCCAGGCTGCTAACTTGGTGGGTTCTCCCGCGCGCGTTCGAATCGCGTCGTCTGCGAAAATTTTTTGCCGCTGCCGACCACACCCCGCGCCGACCTTTGGGCGGGTCTATCACCCATTCACCCCTCGCGTTTGACCCGCTCCCTAAGCCGCTGACAATCAGCTCGTCGTCAGCCGTGCCATACCAGGCTCCTCACACCCAGGGTGTGAGGAGAGGCGAGCGCCCGCCGCCGCTGCAGACGCACGCGTGGCGCTCCTGATAAAAGGCGTCAGGCTGCTAACTTGATGGGTTCTCCCGCGCGCGTTCGAATCGCGTCGTCTGCGAAACCTTTTGTTTTTGTTCACCCCGCCGCAACGCGCTGGTTTAGGCTGCCTGGTGAGAGCACATGAAGGCAGGGGCTTGCGTGCTGCGCCCTGCGTCCGTGCGCGCAATCACTCATCAGTAGAGGCTGGTGCCCCCATCGTCTGCAG